CGCCTCAAGCCCTGAGCAAAGCAAAGCAAAGAGTGGAACTCCCAGGGAAGCCTTTACTTTGACTTGGAGTTGTGCAGATTGGTCTCCGGCCATCTCGCTTCGGACTTCGACGAGCAGCTCTTCAAACCGCCCCTTGGCCAAAGGGGCTTTGGGCTTTACGTTAACCGTGAACCAGGCTGGGTTGAATCGATTTCGGAGACTCGCTCACAATCTCCAAGGCCCGGTAGGTTTCCTGAGAGTCTCCTGGGCCAAGGGAGCTCTACGAGTTGGAATCGGAGAATGATGCCCAGGACCATGGTCACATCGCGTTGCCATGTGTGTTTCAAGCAAAAGCAGGGGCCTGCGGCTTGCAGAAATGTTCAGAATCTAAGGGCCTGAATCGGGTGCGCACTTTGCGACTCCTCGGCATCATGGCAGCTTGCAGGCGCAGCAGCTTCTGCCCTATCCCACCTGGTCGCCGGAAGCGCATCGCGCCGGATGCTCAAATCCGTCAACAGTCCTGCTCGTCGCCCCCGATTTCTGCAACTGCAGCCTGTGGTACATGATCCCATCAGTTCAATGCGAACACAGCTGATGTCTGTTTCAGGAGGACATGAGGCTGCCAGGCTCGGCTCTCATACGAAGCGTAGGGTAATCTGATACCGGTCCGACAGTCTGTGACAGAGCATGGCAATGGGGATTCACGTAGCTGTGAGGTGCTCTGGGCTTCATCCAGTCCGATTGGTTTCTCGTGCTGCCTTGAGCTTAGACACTGCATCACGACAGGTCTCGAGCTTTGCAGGTCACAGAGCCCATGCCAGGTCCGGCTTGGTGGTTGCCTTCAACATCATGTGCCTCTACATCCAGGTTGCCAGCTGCAACCGAAGCTGCTCTGATTCTTTCCAATTCTTTTCTCCAAGCCTCACAGAAGATGCCGACCACGAGTGCACGTACGCAAACGGAGAAATGCAGCCACAAGCATGGTGCGCACTCAAAGAGATGCGCATAGAAATAGGGAGAACACATGGTTGACAGCAGACTTACGTGCTGAACTCTTTTGAACGGTTGGCCTTCCATGTCTCATGCACGAAGTAGCACTGGGTTCTAGACATGCGGTGGCGGTCTTTCGCGGAGCAGGTGGCGTGTGAAGTGTCGGACGAGGATGCCAAGGTTGGTCCAGCTGAATGCGGCACCTCGCTCCGCCCTTGCAGAGCCTGACCTGTGGAGGTCCTCGAAAACGTCAACGACACCTGCCTGGTGCTGTACACCATCGAGGCTCGACATGGTGGTTGAGTGGGCATTTCGTGTTTGCCTTTGCCTTCTGGATGGTTGTGCTGCGATGAGATTGCTGGTGCTAGGTCGTGATGAGACTGATGCTTGGCTGCGTTTGAGTGGTGATTACGAACACGTACAGTTCGCCGAGACTTCCGGCGGGCACCTGCTTGCATCCCCACAGCTCCTCCTGGGGACTCAAATGGCCAGTATGAGTACCTAGTCACGGATGTCTATCCCGACGGCCGCCAGTGACCTCAGGCTTCATTTTCGATTACGATTCTGCGCCCATGCTGTGGATGGCATGTGGAATCTCTTCGATTTCGTGCCTCGATGGCACGTGAAGCATGGTGGCAGTTTGTGGCTTCCGTTCCTGCTGGCGTGAAGCTAGTTTCTAGATATTTCTAGATTCTAGATGTTGTGTGGGGCCTCGATGGTCCACCTCGATCCAGCTTGCTGCCAAGGTTATTGTTTGTGCGGGCGTCTTCGACCGGTGGATATTTCCATCATTGAATGCCCATATTGGAGTCAAGTCACAGGCACGCTGCACTACTTCCCGCTTGAGCCGGCCAGATCTGATACTGGCTACAAGTTTCCCGCTACCCTGTCCTTTACGCAGTCCCCAATTTGAGCTAAGTATCTTGTACCTGCAAGATCCTGCAAGGTTATCGATGAGTCGTTGCATCCCGCCAGCTGTTTGCAGGCCAGCTTCTGGCTGCCAGCCTTGCGGGGCATCCGAGTGCTGAGGCACGATGTGATGCGGGTTTGAGATGTTTTGAGCTAAAGTAGTACAGGGCAATTGCCAGGTTCATCCGCGTGGTGAAGCTCGTTGGAGCTCCGGACTCGGCCATAAATCCTGCTGTGGAGGAGTCAGTGCTGAATTTGGGACCAAAGCGGCGCCAGGACAAGTAGATAGCTGCAGCTTATCTTGGCATCGTAAGATATGGTCGACTGTGCACTGCGCGTTTTAACAGCTTCTGGCTGGGCCGCATTCCGATTGCTTGTCAAGATCTCCAGCTATTACTTTCAACTGGGATTTTCAGAAATCAGTTGAAGTCAGGTAAGACGTGTGGATGTGGATGTCTTTCCTTTCAGGTGCTTTTTCGCTCAGATCTTCGGTGGACTGAGCCGCGCACTCATTTGATGGCTCAGTGTCATGTCTCATAAGTTTGGTGCCCTTCTTCCGTTTTGAGTAGACCTCGCATTTGCTTCTGGATGCACCTGACACGGGTTCACCTGGCAACTATCGCAAGGGGCGTGGCATTCGCGTCAGCCACCAGCTCAGCCTGCAAAGCTTTCGCATGAGCTACGACCCCACACACACACACACACACTATGTCTCCTCTGCTGCACTCAAAACTGAATGACTGGCAGGTGGTCTCTGCAGTGATCATCACCAGTGTGATCCTGATGGGCTCGGGGCCAATGCGCTGATCCATTTCGTGGGGCTTGTGGGCTTGAAGATCACTGCGCATATTCGCCCATCTTTGCTAATTTCTGCTGAGGCCTGGAGACCGACATCCAGTCTCCGCTTTGGGAACCCATAAACGACTTGGCTCGGGACCCAATCCAGGGCGTCTCCAAGCAAGCGCGATCACGGCTGAGGTTCTGTTGTTCTTCCTGTTTGAGCTGGCAGCTCATAGCTCAGAAGTGCTGTGCCCGACGCCTGTGAAAACGGAGTCTTCCGCCAAATGATCCCCAATCGCTACTGCAGAACCTGAGTGCAATTCCGTTGCCTTCGCAAGGGCTTCGCCTGTGGAAGATGGGTTCCGCAGCTGCAGGTTAACATCCGAAAGCAGGGCTGGCTTCACTTCTTCACGTCTGAGGACGCCTCACTGCTTGACAGCTAGTGAGCAATGATGCGCTGTTTTAGACTTCATTCACAGGACCACGTTTGGAATTGGCTGGACATGATCATCGTGGTCTTGGGCACCCTCGACCAATGGGCTGCTTGGAGCAAGAATTGCTGATCCAGTTTCCGAAGTCGAAGACATGCCTGCTGCTAGCACGGCATGAGAGCGTGTGCGTGTGTGTGTGTGTGTGTTGCAATGCACAGCAAAGACATGGTTTTCTGCATGTGTTTACATTTCTTGCAGAGCACGTTGCGGTGGTTTCTCTAGCCATGCCAACGAAGCTGCGGAAGTGACCGGAAGGGACTCCGGACGCATCTTGTAGCCAGCCCCCTGAGCTAGCGAGAGCGACGACAGTTTTCCGTTGTTCAGCACATGTGTGTTTTCACATGCAGCAAGCCTTTGCACGACAGGCGGGAAGCTGGGTTTCAGCCAAAGGAGCAGCTAGCAAGTATGCAGTCATTGGTTGATCAACTGGCAAATGCATGGGTTTGTGTTTTTGTGCGCGTGTGAATGTTTTTTTTTCTCGTGGCCATTCTGATGAGAGGCTCCTCTGTGCTAGTCCCAAACCTTTAGTCCTTCGTGTGGCAAGTGACAGAAGCATTGCTGCAGGTCATCAAGATCTTTTTCATTGCAGTGTATGGTCGCGATCAAAGTCATGAGCTGGGCAGCTCGCTCATGCTCTTTCGCTTGCTGCGAATGCTCAGGACAGAGGTCTTTAACACCTGCTTCAGCCGCTGATAGCTGCAGTACAGGTAGTATGATTTTATAGAGCGCGTCTGTGCGGCCAGGATCTTGCGAGTTCTTAGACTCGTGAAGGTGCCACGAGACCCCATGTTCCACTGTGTGGCTGCCTGCAGATATCTGCAACTCCTTTCGACAGGCAGTTCAACCACTTTACTTGCTGGCCCTCGGCATTGCTGAGGCCAGCAGGATGTGCGCGGCGGGAAGGTGCTTCTTTATGCCATGTGTCTGACAAGGCTGTGCAGAGCATGTTCTGGGTTCTGTTGCTTACAATGGTGGCGCTCTATGCGTCCACAACTCAGACCGGATTGACCATACTAGGACCTTTCGTGTAGCATGTGTGAATGCAAGCTTCCGCGACCACAAAGGTCAGCAATTGTAATCACACGCATTGTCCGCGAGACCCGCATAGAGGCAGGCCTCGTTGATCTTCGTGCTTCAACATCTGTTTAATCTATGTGTCCATTGCTGAGTTCTGTGCAATGACCTGCCTCACTGTGAAGGATGTGCCAGATGCTGCCAAAGCCAATTTTCAGAGCGTGCCTGACTCCATGTTCACGCTCTTCGTCCTGATGAATGGTGAGGAGCTTCGACCATGAACGATGCATGGAAGATCGTCGAATGGCATCGGTGATGTGCTTTGCAGGAGTGGCCTGATGTGATGCCTCTCCTGGATGCGCAGAGTCCTCACTCATGCAAGTGCTAAGAGTGTACAGTATGACACAAATATCTTCAATACCGAGAGGCAGCTTCATACTGAGCAAAGGTGTCCAAGTCTCAAGTTCATGTTTGTCCTTTTCATTATCATCTCAACGTGGGCTCTGCTGTCGGCCAGAAGCCCGGTTAGGAACAACTGTGCATGTCCCGCGCCGGCTCTGCCTCACAGAAGACTTTTTGAGGTGATGACCGGTGCCAGAGCCTTAGATTCTAAACCGGCCACGGTGGCGGGTCCCGCGCGGTCCGGCAAACAGAACTTGGCAGGTGGTGAGCGACAACATGATCTACGCAAGGGAGGCGCAGTCTCAGAAGGCCGGGGCAGCTAAAAAAGAATTTCTCGCGGATGTCCGGCATTCGATGGGCAGGACGATGCCCTGCAAGGGGAACGTCGAGCCAAGGCCAACCTGCTGAAAAAGCTTCTTCCGGTAGCATGGACTGGCATCGTCGTTGGCATGCTGTGCGTTGACGGCCGCATAGCGGCGTAGCGGGCGCAGCGTTGCTGCAGGTACAGAAGGCCCTGAACGACGTTTTCTTTGCATCCCGGGGCCTCTCCACTGACAAAAGGCCAGGCGTCACGCGGTGGCATGTCGCACAGATAAGCATGGTAGGTGTCTGAGACTGAGTCGGAGACCCCTTGTCGGCTGAAGGCTTGCGGCCAGAGACTGGCAAGACGTTTTAAAGGTTCCGTTTTATGCGAAGAAGATCATGGATGTCGCTTGGCACTTGGACGGCTGAGTCAATGTTTCGACAAAGCGTCAACAAAATGGCTTCTTGAGGTGCCCTCGGTCCCAAAGAAGGCCTGGATTCGTGGCCCCAGTCAGTTGAGTTTAGCTTTGTTGCAAGCCCCGAACTCCTGCTCTTCGTTCGCCGACATGGCAGACTTTGCAGGTCGATTCGTGCAAAGTTGTAGCCGCGAGGATCTGTTGGACATGTTCGACTGGCTGGAAGCAGATGAGTCGGACTCCAAAGTCAGCTTCCAGGCCTTGCAACAATTCTTCTCAGCTCGGCCGATCCAGGCTGATGAGGTTCAATGAAGTTTAATGCCACGTTGAAGGAGGTGCTGCGTGGAGTGATGACGTTGGCCGAGCCGCCGAGTGGCAAGACTCTCCTCCAGGTTGGAATCTGACGTCCATCTCCCAGCCCGGGGTAGAGAAGTAGAGAAAAGCGCTCAAGCTCACAGGTCGACTCAGAGGTCAAGCAGCGGTTCTCGCGACTGCAGCAGCAGGTGCTCCACCCTTTCGCTCCTGACATGCCGACCACACTCAGCCGAGTGGTATTGTTGTGATGCACATGTTGTTCGTGAGGGCATGAACGTGGAAGACACCATCGCAGAGCTCGATGAGAAGGCCATTGCTGATGAGAGAGTGAGATGTGCGAGAAATTTACAGCTGCTGCAAGAGGAACAATATCTAGAATCTAGAATCTAGCAATATGACAATATCTAACACTGAAGCACTGATCGTCTCGCGACGCTCTGCAGCAGGTGAGGGAATCATTTGTCGGTACCTCAGCCCGATGGAGATCGGATGCAAAAGTATGTGGTGAAGTCCGTGCAGCCTGCAGCTGCACCGGCAGTCTTGAATCAATGAGACAGGGTCTGACATCCTTGTTGCTGTGCCTGCTTGCTGGATGCTGTTGCGGGGTCTTATGAATACAAGAGCTCGTTTTGCATGGTTCAGCAGGTGACTATGCAAGCTATGATGGATGAGCTGTATGAGCTTTCTGGGGCACCTTACTTGGGTCCGTCTGCTCTCACTCCTGACAGTTTCGACCTCAGGCCTGCAATGACGCTGTGACCACCTACGTGTGCGTGCAGACAGGTGAGAGAGACGTGTCTTCCAAGGCATGTACCACAAAACGTCGCCTGATGACCCACATCACGATCCTCACAGTGGCTCTCAAACCCCTTCCGAGATGACATGAGATTTCGGATGCTGCAGCTGTCTTCATCGAATCGGAGACGGCTGGCGGGTGTACAGAGAACGCTCAGGTTCAGAAAATCATGCGTGTGACAGAATAATCAAAAACGACACCGTGGAGATGAACTTACCTGAGGCTGATTGCCAGTGACTGAACCTGTGTGCAGATTGAAAATACGTAGTTGACATCCCACACTACCCGGGCTCTGCCCTTTCCACTTCCGCACCCCATAGGTGATCGTGCTAATGTGCCTTGCTGACGAGGATCCAGCAAATTTTTGCTTGGCCAGCTAAGCTGCCATGACCAGTTTCACAACTTCCGGCACAAAACACATGCCGGCGACGATCGCGACCAGGTGCAGGCGCTCTGGGCGCGAAACGGCAAAATTGGCCTTGTCTGATCGGCACCTGCATCTACTACTTTTGTTTTTGTTAGTGTTTGCGCTCAGCGTTTGCGGCTCCGACGTTCCAGGTTTCAGGTCGTTCTTCCAGGTATCGGCTTCGACAGTCGCCCGCATTGCGCACCCATCAATTGTCCTCAAAGGATCACGCATGGCCTGACCCTGTGTCTTGCATGGAGCAGCTGCATGTAGACAAGCATACTGGAACCCAACAGGCGACTAAATGGCACGTGCTACAGCGCAGCCATGAGTGCATCGTGTTACGATGTGATCGTATGCTGGGATACTCGCGAGGACCTTGCCTGCAACATATGCTTAGTAGGAATCTGAAAAAGACGGCAGTTGTCGCTGGAAGTTTTTGTCAGTGTTGCCGATGTTTTAGAGATGTTCTGAGCGTTTCGGCCGGCATGAAAGCACGTGGCATAGGTGCGAAGAGGATGCAATCTTAAATGCTTTCTGTCGAACGAAGTCCGAGTGTCGAGTTAAGCCGATGCAGAATATTGAGGGAGGTATTCGCAACATGCCGGGAAGGGGGCACATGTTTTGCCGTTGGTCCTAGTAGAATTCGCAGATTGCAGCATCGTTTCTCCCAGGGGCTTATGCAGGAGAGAGCAAGGTTGAGCGTGCTCCGGTCGTGATGTGGAGCCACTTGCAGCCACAACCGGCGTGACATGTTTTCTTGCACCACCAGAATGGAAACAGATCACGGGAGACTTCGACGCTGCTGTTCAAAGAACGAGCAGTTGGCCAAGAACATCAGCAAAGTTTGCTTGAACTCTGCTTGGACGAGTGTCAGCTCTCGGAATGCACCAAGCTTGCTTTGCAGCTTCATGTGTGTGGAGTGCGGTGCACGCCGGGTTGAGTGCATTTCGCTTGAACCGCATCCACCAACACCACAGAGGTGGTTCTGCTGGGGCTTTGCTCCGGGCGCATGCCTCCGGGCCAAGTAACGCAAAATATCCAGGGCCAGTGAGAGTCTTCCATTTTCCCTTCGTTCGCCAACAAGGACAAAAGGGAAGAGGAAGAGTAAGTCAGTCCAGGGCCAGATTGAACAGGAAGACGCTATCCGTAAGACGCAAAATACGCACTCGACAGAAGCTGAGGTCCACCCTGCTAGTATTGACTTACTGATGCAAACACCCTCTTCAGGAAATTGGCGCTTCGTGCGTGGAGGGCATCGTTCCCCCTGAGCCGATGGATGATCCACAGGCCGATGAGGGGTATGCGTCCCATCTGCGCCGCAGCATGCAAGAGTCGCAACGAGACCACAGTCGTACTTGGACGTTTTGTCGTCGTGCTCGGACTTGCGCGACATTGAGAGGAGGCTAAAACGGCCTAGCAGATTACTCCGCTAGCCGGTGTAGGAAATTCATCACTTTCAAGCACTCCGCTATTCTGCAACAGTTTGTAACATGATTTAAAATGCCCGGTAGCTTAAAACCTTCATGCGTAGGGAGTTCATGGTTTTCAAGCCACTACTACTTCTTCTACTACTGCTGCTGCGCCCTGCTGTTGCCGTTAGTGTCGCGAGTACTAATACCACTGCCACTACCACGACCAACATCACGAAGAGTGCAGCTGCCACTCTGCTGGTGTCTGCTTCCAGCGATACCCTTGTTATCATCATAACTGCGGCTGCTGGTCCTCGTGCTTCTGGTGCTCGCGCTGCTGCTGCCACTCCTCCTCCTCCTCCTCCTCCTCTTCCTCCAGGTGCGACAACAATCGCTACAACCAGCAATGACGACAAAGCGCACCATGCCTTGAAGGCATGTTATGTTGAGCAGGGTCGCCATTGTAAAAGCGTAAGCGTCATCACCACGACAGCAGTTCCCGCCACTTGACCACGACGACGGCTAATACTGCCGCCGTCAGCAGCAGTGCTACCACTGCCACGACGGCCGACCGGCCCCCGAAGTTCTGAAGCCACCGTTACTGCCACACTGCCTCTGCGACTGCAATGACTTCTTCTGCTACGACGATGTAACCGCAGACCCCAGATCCACCAAGTGCACTGCCGCAGTTTTGATCTGGTGATGCTGCGGCAAGTATATAATTGGTCAGGACTCGGGCGTTGCCAAGGAGGAGGGCTCGGAGGAAGACGAAGATTCTGAGGAGGAATACGACAGAAGGGAGGCATGGCGGCACGCACAGCCCTTCTTAGATTCTTCCCAGAGTTCAGGATTGTTGACAGCTTGCAGGGCTTGTGGCCGCTCGAGAAGTTGAAGGCCCAGCTCGAGGTGCGCTTCAAGCTGTGAGAGAAGCCTTGCGCTTAAGGCAGGTAGGTAGGAGTCTGCTGTCTGAGCGTCAAGGATGTAGCAGGCCCAAGCTCAAGTTGGGGACAAGCACGATCCAATCTCAATGCCTTGTTACAACTTGTTGCATAATTAACTAGCGCAGCATAACAGAACCGCAGTACACCAGGGGTGGGGAAGGCGTGTCCTTTGCTGCGCGATTGAGAAAGGCTTTCTCTGTGGCGCGAGGGGTCGCCGTAAGCGGCAGCACATCTGCCAGTCGCAACTTGGCAGAAAGCAGTCTCTTCGAGGGTTCAAGAGAAAGCCTGAAGTGCATCAGCCCAGCAATGCGCTAGCTGAGACCTGAGAAAACAGTGCTCCATCGCATGTGTCCGCTTTGCAGGAAAATTGGCAGTCCTGCTGTCCACGCCTCAGTGAGTTAGTGAGAACGGCGGCGAGATGTCAACCAAAAGTGTACACATGAGGACGACCGGTGCCATGAATCCTCCACATCTGGGGCACACAGAGCTGGTGCAAAAGGCGTGAGTTTTGTTTGCTAGGGTCAAGCAGGAGAGGCAGATCGGATCAGAATGTGGCTGGCTGTGGGGCATCTTTGGTGGCTGGCTTTTTCTCTGGCGAGCAGGCGGAAGGCAAACAAACACCAGGGTGAGCTGCGAGCTGAAGTGGGTGATCAAGCAATGCTGCAGAAGCTTACTATGAGCTTCTGAGAAGCCAGGAGCCGACAGCTTGTACTCCAACAGTGTCCTACAGTGCTACAGATTGCCATAGTTCTCCCTCCCAAGATCCTGAGAGGGGCATTGTGCGTTGAGGCATCTGTCTTGAAAATGGTGTACTGTATTGACGGCATGAAAATTCTTGCAATGGCACTAATTCGTTGTTGACTGACCTGGCGAATCTACTCCGCAATCAGAATTTCCCGATAACTTGCCAAAGTCCTTGGATCCAACTGGCTTAGGGTCTGTCCTCAAGCCCCACAAGTAACTCTACACCACAAGCAGAAACCAAGATTCTTATCCCCCATTCCCGAGTTCCAAACTGTCTGACTAAGAGCGTGCACACGCGTAAACACCACGAATTACGCCAGCAGTGTAATGAATGATCTGGAACAGGCTGCTGAGCGGCTGAGGAGAGCAGGCCAGTTGAAAGGGATGCGCGCAGCTTGTAGGCGCAGGCCTTTGAAGCGAGGCTGTGGCCGGGATGCTTGAGGTACTTCGAAGTGATAGGGCGTATTAGGGCGTTTTGAATCCTGAAGGTATTGTGGAGACCGCGGTGTGAAATGCTTCTCCCTGGCCCTGGAAGGCTTCGAAGTGGCCGGGGCCTGGATCTCACCATCTCATGATGGCTATGTGCAACCCAAGGCCGGGACGCCGGGACGTGGTGTCACCTGCCAAAGTCTGTTCAGAGCTGTGGAGGCTCGGAAGCTGGGAACGATAGGCCACGGACTCAGCTGCCATCTCCGGCTCAGCATCTCACAGCCCTGGAGTCGGGATTTGTGTTCAGTGATCCAGCGTCTGGTGAGTCCCCTGAGGCCTCTCGTCACCATTCCGCTTGGAGGCTGCGAGAAGAGCCGTGCGAGATCAGCTTGCAATGATTTCTTCTCGCCTTGTGTGTTTGTCAGCTTGCCTTCCAGAACGGCTTCTGCCATCTGAGGAAGTGACGATCTTCTGGACGTTGCTAGCTGGGAGGTGTTCGGGCTACAGTTTCTGGTCTTGCAGGTTGGTGTAGAGGTTGCCTCCCACCGGAGAAGTTGTTGCAGGCACAGAAGCCGGGACGCTGGCCAGACTTTCCGGAGGCGGAAATTCGGGAGCCTTGCAGGGCTGGGTAGAAAAGGAGGTCCCAGTGTGGCCACGAGCAGTGCACTCCGTTTATGCAATTATGTTGGATGCTCGTCAGTACTCCAGCTTTGCACCACATGCAGGTCGCTGTGGCATTGCAGAGAAAACTGGAAAGCACGGAAAAGGCCAAGCCGCTTTGTTCCGTGCCATGAACGTTTTAAACATGTGTATACACATGATATACATGTCACGCGTGTATTGTGTAGTGCGCTGTGTAGTGTACTATAATGCAAGTACACTACTCGGCAGCCGTCCCTGTTGTAATGTAATGTGATGTAACGTAACGTATAAGCGTACTTACGTACGTAGGTAGGCAGGCAGGCACGCAGGCAAACAGGTAGGTATGTATATGTGTGCAACGTGTGTAGTGTATTCTGTGTATATTTTATGTGTGTAACTTTTGTAACATGTGAGCACAATAATGTACGTACGGTCCATAGTGTACCCAGTTTATGTAATGTGTTCAATGTATGTAAGATATGTCATGTGCGTAATGTATGTAAAGTTTAATGTAAAGTATGTAATGTACGTCATGTCTGTACTTTACTGCATGTAGTGCATACCTCTCAGGTAGTGCATGTGACGGATGTAGGACATGCAACGTATGTAGTGTATTTAAACGTATACAAATGTATGTAAGTGTATGCACAGTGTTGAATGTAAGTATTGAATGAATGCATGCAAGCAGGCAGGCAGGGAGGTAGATAGGTAGGTACTGGTAGGCATGCATGTGTGTGCATGTATGAATGTATGCATGTATCATGCATGCATGCTTGCATGCGCACATATTCATGTGTGTATATATATATATACATATGAGCATTGATCTAAAGGTCCTTGTGTGGGGATTATATGGAACGGTTTTAACATGTGAAATAGAGTGTCCTCGAAAGATCCGCGATGGGTCCGCGAAAGGAAAACAATAATCCGCG